ATGGTACTTGTCTCCTGGCTACCATGGGGCTGCAGCTGAACATTACTCACGAGAAGGTTAGTTGTCTATTTTTCTTGCTACGTTCTTCTCGTATTTCCTTTCAAATACGGTATATCCTACGTCTGACCCAAGAGTCCTGTTACTAGACTGATTCTGTCTTAATATATGTACTACCGAAGCGAGCACTAGACTGATTCTGGTTTTCGTTTTAAAGTTTATTTATTTGTTTTGAGACAGAGAGGGGGTGAGAGTGTGAAGAGGGGAGGGGCGGAGAGAGAGGGAGAGAGAGAGAGAATCCTAAGCAGGCTCCGTGTTGTCAGCACAGAGCCCATTGCAGGGCTCGATCTCACAAACTGTGAGATCATTACCTGAGCTGAAAGCAAGAGTCTTACTGAGCCACCCGGGCGCCCCTAGACCGATTCTGTTTTAAACAGAGATTTGATGTTGACTTGTTGAGGTTTGATTAGTTTGGAGTTACACAAAGAGTTAATGTCACTGTCAGGGCCTTGTCTTGGCCAGCAGGAAACCTAGCTGTATCCAGGACTCTTTGGGGTTTGGATTGTATTTACCATCAGCAGATCGGAGTACAAATAGTTGATCTTTATTTCAGTCCGTTTAAAATATGAATTCTTCGCATTTGTATCTGAAGCGCAGTGTAGGTTGATGATGCCAGGAACGGCGCAGCTGTGTCTCCAGCTCTTTGATGACTCAGGTCGGAGAGATGCACTCCTCTAGCTGCAGTGCTCCGCTGAGGCTACAGAGGGCGTGCCGGCGCCCAAGCCCGTTCCCAGAGTCTGGCGACTTAAACAAGCTAGACAGATGGCCCTTGTGCTCCATAAAAATGTGTCTTGTCATTTGGCTCATTGCTGAGGAAGCTTCCCTCTTGTTTTTCTCTCTTTTTTTTTCCTTAAAGTTGTCTGAGTCCTAGCTTGAGAGCCCGTGCCAACTTTGTTTGAAAGTAAGACACCATGAACCTAGGTATCCAGGCAAAAGCAATTTCTGTTCTCCACCGACGTGGCAGATTAGAGTATAAGGTTTTGCCATGGACTCGTATGGTTAATGTGTACTTTTCTCCCTCTCCTTCCACGACAGGTTGCTTCGATTATTAACATCAACCCCAACACAACCGACTTCACCGGTAACTGCCATCCTCAGAGCGCTCTGCTTAGGCTGAACAGCAGCAACATCAAATTTCTTGACTTTGTCTTTGCCGTGGTGAGTAACAGACTTTTCTAAGATTAGGTTCGTTTTCTTAGGAACACATCTGAAAGTCTAAACAGCTGTGTGTTTGGCGGGGGGTTGGCTATTTAGCTGTATTTTCCATTTCAGCACTACTTAATTATAAAGTGTAGTCCATTGATCAGCTTTCATCCCTGAGAGTCACCTCAGTGGTCCGTGGGCAGGACTCTTGTATTAATGTTCACCAAAAGTGACCGTTCTGCCGTCACACAGACTTTAGGATAGGAGCGAGAATTAACCCACCTCCCCCCCCGAGACTCTGTAATCCATCTCATATAGATATACTTAATCATAAAGTGTGCATGAATTTATATGTCATGTATTTTATAAAAGATAAAAAGTAGTTTCCATAATATTTTTCTCTATTACTGGTTACAAAATTCATGTTTGTCTGCTATAATATCTTAGTGCTTTTTGGAGGCTCTACTGTTTGTCACAGTACCAGCAATGATAATAGTTAACATTTATTGAGTACTTGCCATGTGCAAGGCTCTGGCTTAAGTACTTAACACGCATAAATTCATTAAATCAAGATAGTTTATAATGGCAGTGTTTGGGATTTTGTTCATGCTCAAATCCAGGGCTGAGCCCTGGGAACCTTCTGCGGAGCCTGCTTAAAATTCTCTTCCTCCCTCTCTCTCTTCCCTTCCCCCCACCAAATAACTAAACTTAAAGTGGGATGAGTGATAGACCAGAAGAAAATACAAAGCCTGTGGGAGTATAGAGGAGGCAGTGGTTCATTTTGGGTGGAGGAGAGTCAAGGTTTCACGGAAGAGATGACATTTGAGCTGGACCTTCAAGGATGGGTTAGATTTATACATATGGAGCTAAGGGGAGTAAGTGGAAAAGTACAGGTACTTTCTGGGTAAAGGAACACAGTCAAGACCAGCTAGGAGAATGAGGCATGTGGCATGTTTAATGAAAGATGGGTATGGAAAAGTAGTTGGGACAAACTGTGAGGAGCCTTGAATGCCAAGCTGAGATGTAGCCTAAGTCAAGGAGAGAGATAGCCTCTTTTATGCTTCCTCCTGACATTTCTCTGCGTCTCTCCCTTCCATTTTCCTTCCCCATCTGTCACCTTCCTTCCTGGCCCTGATTCCAGCTTGCATGACCTCTTACCTGGATTGTTGAAACAGCCTCCTAACTAGTCCTTCCTCTTCCTCTCCTCCCTCAGCGTTCTTCTGCATCAGTGTAACCTTCCTGCAGCACAGCTCTTCCCCAGAAACCTGCAGTGGTTCTGTTTTACCAACAAGATAACCTCTAAATTCCACGGCAGTGTATTTCCAGTGTCTCCCCCGGCACCCTCCGCCCTCACCATGCAACGTAACTTGCATGTCCGGCTTTGTTTCCTTCTCTCCCTTCTCATGAATCCCACGCTCCCCTCACCCTGTGCCCTGTGCACTTTCAGTGAGGTAGGAGAGCATAGTAGTAATCAGTACATAGGCTCTGCAGCCAGACTTCCTGGGTTCAAACCCCACCTCACTGACTACCAACCATATAGCCTTGGGGAAAATCACTTTAACATCTCCCTACTTCGATCACCCCATCCCAGACCGGGGCATTATAATTATTTGATGTGAAGTTTTAAGAACATTGCTTGGTACTGAGTACGTTTCAAATGCTAGCGTACTTGTGACGATGCCTATTTTCTGGTTACCTTAGCTCATGCTGTTGCCTTCTCGAATACCCTTTCCTGCTTGTTTCCTGATTAAGTCCTACTTAGTCCAAATGGCCTATCCCTAAGCTTGTATCACTTTGCTTCTTTCCTACTTGGATGTCATCTGTCTCCTTTTAATTTTTATAACTTGTCGCTGTCTTTTTTTTTTTTTTTGCAATATGGTTATTTCTTTATGTATTTATCTTATCTTTCCTGGCAGATTGCAAACATGGTGGGGGTGGGATCTGAGTCTGGTTCACGTGGCCGGCTCCCTGGAGCACTTAGATAATGTTGCCTTGTACATGCTAAGCATTAAAATAATTAGAATGACTGGCTGATCAGATGAGTGCTTCACAAAGATAATAGCAGCGAAGGAAAGATCCCAGCTGGAGAGGCTGAAAAGGCGGGGAGGGAGCCCAGTTAAGAAGAGACTGTTGAGATGCTGGCTAGAGGAGGCGAGGGCTCAGCAAGTGACACGACGAATAAAATGAGGGGCTGAACTGTTGAGTGTCGAAGAGCCGTGTGACTACACCTTTGGTCCAAAAATGGGAACAAAATGCAGAGGAAAAAAAGATTCTGTCACGTTTTACTTCGTTGCAGTTTATTCTCTTGGCCCGGGGTCTAATCTGTGGCTTTATTTTCTGGATAATAGTATTAGATTGCTTTTTGTGTGTAGATATTAACTGTACCTGTGGACAGTTGCGATGTGTTGATTAACTCGAAGCTCTTTTCCTAACAGAAAAATGAAAACCGATTCTATCTGAAGGAAGTGAATATGAGCATGTATTTGGTAAATGGCTCTGGTAAGCAAAGCATTGGCCTCGGGGAGAAGAGTGGGCTGGGTTTCACTGAAGAAATAGAAACCATAGCTGTCTTGTTACCAAATAGTACCTTATTTAATGTAACAGAAGACTCTGTGTGGAAATTGTACCTCGACCACACATGAAAATCAGTAACTTAAGTCTCCCTTATTTTCAAAGTGTGGTGGCTAATAGTCAAGGATGTGACTGATTGTTTTGACCATAGAAACCTCTATAGAAAGATAGGAAACCTAGTGGTCATAAGAATGGCTTTTTGTGGGTAGACCCTGTACCCCAAGCTTCCATACTTCCCTGGAAAATTCTGAGGACTGTGCCATTTCTTAGGTCGACAGGATGAGATGTTACTAACAGGGGCGCCTGGCTGGCTCAGTCGGTAGAGCATACGATTCTTGATTTCAGGGTCGTGAGTTCATGCCACACATTGGGCGTAGAGCCTACTTTATTTATTTATTTATTTTTAAAAAAAATTTTTTTTTCAACGTTTATTTATTTTTGGGACAGAGAGAGACAGAGCATGAACGGGGGAGGGGCAGAGAGAGAGGGAGACACAGAATCGGAAACAGGCTCCAGGCTCTGAGCCATCAGCCCAGAGCCCGACGCGGGGCTCGAACTCACGGACCGCGAGATCGTGACCTGGCTGAAGTCGGACGCTTAACCGACTGCGCCACCCAGGCGCCCCATGGGCGTAGAGCCTACTTTAAAAAGAAGTTACTAACATGTCTGTTTTCCTTAAAGTTTTCAGCATCGCAAATAACAATCTGAGCTACTGGGATGCGCCCCTGGGAAGTTCTTATATGTGCAACAAAGAGCAGACTGTTTCAGTGTCTGGAGCATTTCAGATAAATACCTTTGATCTAAGGGTTCAGCCTTTCAACGTGATGGAAGGAAAGTATTCTACAGGTAAGAGTTGAGCAAGTTCTGTTGATAATTTATGTTCTCATGTTGACTGATAGGTGGCTTTTCCTTTGACTCATGGGCATCGAAGCATTGAAATACAGAAATATGAATTCATCTCTTGTGACTCTGTTGGAGAGTTCGCATAGCCTTGAGCAAGTTGTGTGAACTGTATTTGGCTCATCGGTTTGCTCAAACTAGATTTTTTTGTGTGGATCTGAGAACCATTTGCACCCAAGTTCTTAAGGCTAAAAACTGATGGAAGCTTTCAGTGAGCTTAAGTGAGCTTAAGGTACAGAAACTCCTAGGTTTTAGTTTGTGAGAAGGATGGCAGCTTTGAGCATCTTGGATCTGTTTTTGGGGGGCCATCTTCTCGTCGGAAATATTTTCATACGCGAATAAAAGCAGTTGGGTCTTATTTTGTTAAGACAAAAGATTATGATTAGCAAAGCCTCAAATACCATGAGCAGTGTTTTGGTCAGCCAAAATGACTTGGAGAGTTTTTAAAAGCATGTGCCAGTGTGAATGAGGTTTTTTTTGAAGATCTACTCAGGGCTAATGGTGGTATTTATCAGATTTTTTAATGAAACCTTTGTGGAGGGCTCAGTTCAGTGCGTTGATATGAATATGAAAGATGCATTTGGCATTACAAGATTAACAGTTGCACACAGGGAAAAAAAGTACATAAAATTTCTTAATTGACTTGTCCTTTTAGACTGATTACCTAAAATTGGGGGTTTGTGGATCACAGCTCTGCTGAGCAGAGCCATTCAAACCGTCTGCATCCTTTTTAACAATTAATTCTCTGGTTTAGAAGGAAATGTGGAAGCTGTGTTTAAAAGCAAACGTGCCATGAGCCCCTGAACTGCTTTTGCAGTGGTGCTGAATCCCCCTGCCTGACCTGGTTAGGCTAGGGTAAGTGGGGGGCCTTTATCCCACCATTCTCGTGACCGGAGAGGTCAATCACACTTAGAAATTGTTTTGAAGCCTTCCTTTTCCCTTGTCAGTTTTGCTTATGTACTACGATTATTTTGATCCTTTCATAGTTTTATTTTTGAGTCTTTATCTAGCTCCCCTACATTGTTACCCTAATTTTAGGCCCAGATTTGTGTTTAGAATTGAAAATCATTTTCAGTGTGATAGCAGCTCGGGTCTGCTTAGCTAGTCAGCTGTAATAGAGATAGACATGGGCTGCGTTCCTTCTCAGATCTGAAACTTTGGTTTTTTTGTATGTAGAGTTAAAAATGGTACCCAAAGGAATATACAGCATTTAATCCTGGTAATGGATGTGTAATGTACTCATGGAGCTAGGTTCTTGACCATGGGTACCCATAAATATGATATACTTGACTGTAGAGGAGGAGGAAATAGACTTGCAGTAAGGTAAAAGAGTGTTGATTGGATTGTACTGGATGGGACTACTCTCCAGAAATAGACAAGCTAGCCCGTGTGGGCTGCCAGCCCTGGGCAGGTTGATAAATGCAGTAAATACACACAAATTAGTAAGAGGTCCCGGTCTCTTGACTTCTGTAGCCATTAAAATCATACACTCTAGGTCAGGGATCTGCAAAGTGTATTTGTAAGGCACAGACAGTAAGTGTTTTTAAGTTTGGAGGCCATATGGGCTCTGTCACAACTATTCAGTTCTACTGTTGTAGCATGAAAACAGCCACAGGCAATAAACAAATGAGTGTGGCTGGGTTCCAATAGAACTTTATTTATGGATACTGAAATCTGAATTTCATATAATTCTCATGTGTCACAAAATTTCTTCTTCCTCTTTTTTTTTTTTAAATCATTTAAAAATGTCGAAAAGCCATATTTAGCTCTTGGGTCAGATTTGGCCTCCAGGCTATAGTTTGCTCTCTGCTCTAAAGGATTCCAGAGCCAGCACGGTTCTAATCCCATGATTAAACCTTTCTGATCTGTGCTCAATTTCCCAAAAGACTCTACCACTAAGAGGCTAATCTGGCCGTGTAGAAATGGGCTGGATTAGCTCTCTTCATTTCTGGTAAAGTAACATTCCTCTATTTTGGAAAGGACTTGAAATATGAAACACGTACACGTATGTATGTGCTTACTCAGAGATATAAAGGAGTATATATGTATTCATATACGTGAATACCTATATTCATACACACACGAAAGAAAAGACCAGTAAGTTTTAGGATTTTAATTCTAGGGCAATCCATAATTTTCTGTAGCTTTATCATTACAATATACCTGTCTTAGTTACTTAACGTTGATTTCGTAAGAGCATTTCTGACTTTTGAATCAACATCTTTTACTTTTGGACATTCATTTTTGATTATACTCATTATTTGTCACACACTTTTTCTCACCTACAGCCCAGGAGTGTTCGCTGGATGATGACACCATTCTAATACCAATTATAGTTGGTGCTGGTCTTTCAGGCTTGATTATCGTTATAGTGATTGCTTACCTAATTGGCAGAAGAAAAAGCTATGCCGGATATCAGACTCTGTAATACTGATCCATATGTGATCTCTGTTACAAAATAACAAAGCAAGTACAAGTTCCAACATGCAATACTGTTCAGTTTGAGGTATATTTTAGTTGCAGTTCTGATCTTAGAATGGGTGGTGTGGGGGATTTCGAACTTAAATAAATAGAACCCCCCCTCAAAACTATAAACTACACATTAATCACGTGATTTTGGGTCTTTCCCCCCACCCAGCCAAGGAATTTAAAACTTATTTCCACGGCAAAAAAGCGTGTGTGAAATCACCTGGGTTATTGGTTCTACTCTATTGTCTTGAATTAGTATTTCTGCATATTTGCTCTAGGTATTCTGGTGAGCAATCTACAGTTCAGGAAACAGATTTCAAAAAGAGATTTTTTTTTCCTACATGGAGTCAAAATTGACACAGTGCATCCTACAGTGGATTTGTACTTGCTCCTTTTGCATTTTTTTGTGATTTTGTTTGCAGGTTAACTTAGCTACCTTGGCATTGCTGCATATTTGACCTATGAGAGATATGCCAATAGATTTGAACAGGGTCTGGTATTATGTTCTTAGCGATGAATGCTTTTCTAATGCCTTTTGAATACATTTGTATTTAATGTGGCTGTAATGACAAAAGATACAAAAGCTGTATAAATTTTGGAATAGGTGTTAATCTTGTTTAATCCTTTTTTTTTTTTTTTAAAGAAAAAAAGTGGATTTCTTTCAATCTTTTAATGGCAAGACACAAGACTATTCCAACTGGGCATTTCAATCCATTTTCTAGGTGCTTTAGAGATAATTGCTAGGCAGTGCCAGTTTGGGGCGTTAGACCTTTGTACCTGTAAATTGGCCTCTACACGCAGTGCAGAAATCAATGTGGTTTCTCTTTAGCCTTGCAGTATGCTTCTCGGTGGTAGTATGCTCTTTCTTTTCTTGTGTTTTTTTTTCTCTTCTCCTTTCCTTTCCTTCTCTTTTTCTTAAAGAAGAAATGCCAGGATGTCCTAGAACCCAGACAAAGAAGTGCACTTACACTTAGAAAGTAACTCGCACCTAACCTAAAAGTCTTGGTCTTCTCTTAGTGCATTAAAAAGTTCTGCTTTCTTCCAGCTTGCATCGATTGCTACAGCATTTACTAATTTGACTTTCACATTTAAATGGTTCTGTGCTAATCAAAACTTAACGTTATTATTGTTCATTATGGTGGAATCATTACTAATTCATGTACTTTGTGTTCAGTTTTGTGCCCTGGAGAGATGCACCAATTGTCCACTTATCATGCACTGCCTAATGTTTATATGAGAAAGCAAAACATTTCAGCTTGATAGTTAACACATCAGGTAGTTTTCACTGCTCTAGGAGACCTCTTTTTGGTATTGGAATGGCTGAGCAAATATTTAAAAGTTTTTAATATGCAGCCATATATGGAAGGGAGGTTCCTGTGATTTTGGAGTGGGAGATTATGTGCCCCCACATTCACTAGAAAATGGGATACGTGGGTTCCAAACTATGACTGATGTTGAATTACTTTGGTAGTCTGGCTATATACACCACACACACACACACACACACACACACACACACACACACACACAGAGGCAACTGCATGTTAGCATGTGTATGTCTATAGGTATCTTTCGAGTTATGCTGGAGTGGCAAATACTTTCTCCCACTTAGATTTGCTCTCTGCTTAGAGTAGCCTGAAACTCTTACTGGCTCAGAATCAGATTCTTGGCCAGCCCCTCCCTTAAAGCTACATTGAGCTGCATTGCCAGCTTAAGGCACTTTTTAAAGACTAAATATAAATCTGATTTTTAAAAGTTATTTTTTACTTTAAATAGTGTTCTAGTGTAGGATTGTTAACCTTATATGAATAGATAATGCTTATAAGAAAATGGGCGTTAGATATTTCTCATGAGTCAAAATAAAGCAGCTTTTTATTTGAAAATAAAAACCGGAAGCACAAGTGGGTGGCGCTTGCTTAATGCTGTTGATGTTTCTAAAAGTTTTTACATTTAGATTATATACCTAATTCATATTAAAAATACCTCTAATTAGCACTGTTTTGTAGAAAATCTGACTTCATTGAATATTTTTGTATTTTACATGGGCCAGTTTATATCCTTTTACTTACACTATTACTTCCTATAGCCACATGTTCTTTGTACCTTTTGTAGTTTTGTTCTTTGTACTGGGTTTACACCTTGCTGGTCTCACATGCTATTTGGTTCTAGGTGCTTCTCATGTTTTAGCATTTGTATAAAGAAACTGGTCCATGTAAATACTTTTCATGTTTTTTTCTCATATGTTTAAACCACTAGTTGATGTATGGTGTTTAGATATTTGCCTGTCCAATTTGCTCAACATACTGCTTCTAAAACAAACAATAAAGATTCTTTTATTTCTTAAGGAAATTTGCTCACATTTTTTCCCGTTGGTTAAAGTAAAACTTTTGTATACTTTATGATGACGATTTCTTCCAAAAGGGAAAACTTTAGAAAAGCTTAGAAGTGGAACTAAGTTATTTCCAAAATATTCTGTG